TTGGTCTGAAAACAAGGGAGGGTCTTGGGATTTTATTTAAAGTCCTACATCCTATGTTAATGGCAATTGGTTCAAAATTCTAACTAAATTTTGGTCTTTTCCTCTGCATATAAATAATGTATAGAGAACATTATTTTTCTCAATGAATTGCTTTCCAAAGAAATAAGAAAGTAAAGAATTGTTTGCCTTTTCCCAGCCTCCTTTGTGACAGAAAGAATAATGTCAGGATAATACACTAATTCAACAGTTACAGATGCATTCTGATAGCATCCATAACAGCTGCATGTACAAGCTAATTTGTAACAAGTATGCCGTAATTCTAAAATCATAACTTGGTGTTTCTCTTGCTATTTCCATGAGGAAAGTCATTTCTAATGTCTGTGAAAAGGCTAGGATCAAAATAAATTTCCATTCCATTTGACAGACTATATGACTTGTCAAACACTCAAGTTCATTTTCCTGTTGTATTTTCCCATAACCAGGCTTTCCTCAGACGACTGTCCTCAAATATTTTTTTCTTTTATATTAACTACCAAGAAGTTTAAATTGCATCCATTTAATGGAAACATTTAATTTTATTGCCCATAAATGGAGCCCATCTAAAAATGTTGCCAATTTAAGAAACAATGGGGAGGTACTGAAAGATGTATTGGCCAAATTGTCAATCTGTACTAGGATCCAGATCTGGTTTTGAAATGGATAAAAGAGCAACAGGTTGTAATTGCCAGGGTTATATCTGTCTTCTCCATTACAAATGGGGATTATATGTTCCAAATTTTTCTCTGTAGGAAAGGTTTTACTTGTCAATAAGAGATTTAAAAGAACAGTCAGGGGTTGGGCACTGATATCTCTATCTCCAGCCAATTTTAAAACGTATGCATCAAGAATATCGGCTTTTGCCTCCCTTCCTTCAGCCCCTGTTGTAATCCTCTTAGTGTCTTCTTTACCTCAATGAGCAGCAAGATTCTACAACAAAATACCCTATAGATATCTGTCACCTCTGCCAGAATCTATCTTTAAAAGTGCTCCTTTTCAGGTTATTAAATTACTATTCCCAAAGCACTGACCATATCTCTGTAAATAATGCGAGAGATTTTTCTGAAAGGACTTTAAAGGTTTCACAGCTAAAGGGAGAGCCACATTTCTTAAAAGCTTCTCTTTACTAGACAATTTATCAAGTTTTTTGCTTTCTCAGAATGCTATTTTGAACAGACTAAAAAGTTATTCAATTTCTTCCAAAAATACAATAATGTACAAATATTTATTTAACATGAATGTTTGCTCACTTTCACTAAATAGTTAGAACCAATTCAAATGATAAAATAGCAGTAGAAAACAAAGTAACCATGTAAAGTCCTAGTCTGACACAAAAGCAAAGAGCAAAATCCCACCTTGGGGTTCCTTGCCTCTGATATCTCTTTCATGAACATTTTTCTCAGGTTTGAGCTGGTTTGTTTAATGAGTTATTAAACTAGTGAATTCAATTCACTTTAGCTAATTCTGGGCATATAGATAGGGCAGCAAAGACAAGGATGAACAGGAGATCCTTTGCCCTTGAGGAATTTTCAGCCTAGCAGAGAGGGTAAGATGAAACCTTCCTGAGTTATTTCCCTAACACAAAGATCAGGTCAGATCTTGCCTCTGTTCCTGTATTTCCACTGGTTCCCTGTTTTCTACAAAGCAAAAACTAGAATCCCTAATACTGAATGAAGACCCATTACATCTGGTTCCAACATTCCCACAGTGGAATCTACCATTCTCCCTTATATACCCCAGTGTAACTTCAAATGTGCTCAAACTTGTAGTCTGGTTGGCTTTGAACTATGCAAAAAATTTTGTATGAGGACCAGTCCAGCTTTCTGCTATGGCCCGGGAGTGCAGTGGAGGATGGCCCAAGTGCTTGGGCCCTGCACCCCATGGGAGACCAGGAGAAGTACCTGGCTCCTGGCTTCGGATCAGCGCGGTGCGCCGGCCGCAGCGCGCCGGCCGCGGTGGCCATTGGAGGGTGAACCAACGGCAAAAAGGAAGACTTTTCTCTCTGTCTCTCTCTCTCTCACTGTCCACTCTGCCTGTCAAAAAAAAAAATTTTTTTGTATGAGGAACAGTATCTAGCTCAATGTCATTGTAAATGGTGCAGAAGGGATGCTATGGGGGATTTGCAAGGTCAGAAGTATGATATCTGATTTGGGGATGGAATAAGGTAAAGATAGACTTCAATTATCAGTTAAAAGTCAGATAGGACAAGCATGATGGGCAGGATTTCAATAGCATTTTGTCGCTCCCCCTCTTCGTGGAGGAACGACACAGGACCCTGCGCTGTTCTTTTGTCTGCTCGGCCCTCCCCGGGTTTGCTGCTGGTTCTTCCCAGGTTGGCTACTATCCCCTCCACCTCCGTGGAAGGGCAGTTCCCCCTGGCCGCATTCCCCACTTCCGCAGGGGAGCGGCACACCGCCGGCCGGCTCTCTCGGGGGCTGCACGGGTGTTCCTTCAGCTAGATGTTCCCCATAGATGTTCCCGGTGCATGCCGTCTCTCTCCTCCTTTATAGTCCTCCTCCGCCAATCCCAACTCGGCTGCCCACATGCCGAGTACGCTGCTCTCCTCCAATCAGGAGCAAGTCCTACAGTTAATTGGTTGAACTGGAGGCAGCTGTGCGGAAGCTGTTTACTTCTCTCCCAGCGCCATATTGTGGGAGAGCAGATGCATAGAATAAGTCTTAATTCCAGCAACAGTCTAGTCCGAGCTGCTCCCCACAGCATTTATTGAATACCAACTATATTCCAGGCTCCATGCTAGGATATGGCACAAGGGTGAGAGAGAAGATCAGGGGATGGGAGAAAGAGAGAGAGAGAGAGAAGTTGAATTCTAGGCAGAGTGATAGATATGGGCATAATAACAGAAAGAGCATGGAGAGCTTTCAGTGAAAAACAAATGAACAATCTGGCTTGGCTATAACACAAAGAACATATTAGAGAACAGTCAGCCTTGAAATACAGGTTATGGCTAAATTTTAAAAAAACTATTCATCAAAAATGTATTGCGCACTTACCCTACATTCAAGACTTTGTGCTAGCACTTAGGAATACAAAGATGAGTAAGACATAATGTCCGTGCCCTAAGTATTCTCAATTTACCTGAGGAGAAAGGCACAGAAGCAAATGCCTTTACCATAACATAAACTCCAAGAATAGTTTGCAAAGGACAAAAAAGAGATCTGAGAACACAAAATAGGACCTGAGAAGGCTTTATGGAAAAAGCAGAGGTAAAGACTTAAGAGGCAAGGAACAGTAATTTCTGAGGGTATATCTCAGGCAAAGAACATCACAAGCCACATGTCAAGTTTACCAAAATGAAAAATAAGTTATGGTACATAGTTTATTAGCTCTGACTATAGTGTAGGGTACAGAGAAAATTGAGAAGAGGAGAATAAAGGAAAGATAAGTGAGACTAGGCATAGACTTGGAGGAGAATCGTGAAGACCAATTCCACTAAGCTATGAATTTGTAACTTTTGTAGGTAACATCAGGCATATGAGTTGTTTGAGCAGTAAAATAATGCTACAGTAAAAACAAGGAATGCCAAGAGAATCAGGCCTAGAGCAAATAAATCTTAATGTCACATGAGTATGGAATATAAAATTTATTAATTACTATGCCATTCTCCTTTTATTTTATACATTTACTCAAAAACATGGTAAGAAATACTTGATTCTGTTTTTATAATTATAGTATTTAGATTCATAGGATTATTCTTTTTTTGTTTGATAGAGTTAGACATTGAGAGAGAGAGAGAGAGAGAGAGAGAGAGAGAAAGGTCTTCCTTCTGTTGGTTCACCCCTCAAATGGCCGCAATGGCTGGAACTACACCGATCCGAAGCCAGGAGCCAGGTGCTTCTTCCTGATCTCCCATGCGGATGCAGGGACCCAAGCACTGGGGACATCCTCCACTGCCTTCCTGGGCCACAGCAGAGAGCTGGACTGGAAGAGGAGCAACCGGGACTAGAACCCGGCACCCATATGGGATGCGGGCACTGCGGGCGGAGGACCAACCAAGTGAGCCACGGCGCCAGCCCCAATTCATATGATTCTTAAAAACAAGTATTTTCAGTTTAAAGTTTGATATAATAGAAAGATTGAAGATGCAGCATGGAGAAATTCGAAAAGAGCACTTTGGGACCAGATGTCTTTTTTTTTTTTTTTCAAAATTTTTTTAAGGAAAACAAATTTCATAAGTACAACTTTAGGAGTATAGTTATTCTTCCTACCAAACCTGCCCTCCCACCCACACTCCCACCCTTCCTCCTTCTCCCTCTCCCCTTGCCAGTCCCATTCTCCATTCTTTTGCATTGTATGTTGGAAATAATGGACCCAGATCAGTTGACAGGAAGTCCTACTTTACCTGAGTACCTGTATCAAGTAGGTGTCCTTGGTTTAGATTTTATGTATTCAAAAATTAAAACATAAGCAGGAGAAATGACAGCAACCTTACAAAGAGTTTGCCAGCTAAGAAAAACAAAAGACTTATTCCTTCTTTGGAGACATGTTTAAAATGTCTTTTATGGTTTAGCTGAAGAAGAAAGAAAAATTTTCTGTACCATAAGAATAACTAGACCTTCTGGACTGGATTGTCACAAGCAGAATTTTCCAAAGAATTCATGTGCCTTTAATACATCAACCTATATAGCAAATAGTACATATCCTAAAGTACAGAGATAACAGCCACCTTTATGACTTTATAAACAGCACTATCTTACTAATATGGTGGTAGAAAGAAAACTTATCAAACAACAGGACTTAAATGATACAATTTAGAGAGATTTTTTTTTCAAGTAGCAGTGCTATGTACTGTTTCAGTTTTGGCATGCTTAATTATCAGAAAGAATAATATTTGCATCAACATTTATAAAAATAATTTATAGTTGAAAAAAACCTTAAAAATGCATAAATGCACTCTATCCAATACATAAAATGCACTTTGTTAAGTACAACAAATAAAATCTTACCTTGTTCTGTAGGAAATGGTTGTCCAAATCCACCTTTTCAAAGTGATCAGGTATCTGTTGACTGGTACAGTTGAAATTAATTGGAAAGCCTTCACAAACTTCCCAACTAGGAAAAAATGGATCATTAAATTATTTTTGTCAGAATAAAATACTTAGTTATAATGCTCTTTACTAGTGTAATCATTTATGCCTCTATACTCTTCTAATGGGGAAAAAACAGTGTGTAGTTCATAATCTTTTTTAAATAGAAATCTGTAAAGTGCCTTGCTATCTACAATTGGGAAAAGAAGGCTATAAAATGTTACCTTGCAATAATTTATGATATTAGGAGATTCTGCAACAAATTAATTAACAAAAAAGGATTCAAGAAATGGTGTTTTATCTTTTGGAATCACTGATAGTGGAGATCATCCACATTTTTAAGCTTATATTGTAAATAGATGAGACTACAAATAATAAAGGATATTTTTATACTTTTAATTTGTGCTAAGTATGCCAGTTTGATATTTTAGGAGTTATCACAGTCAAGTGAGTACATGGAAAAATCACAAACTAGAGATTTTGAGTTTTGTTCTTAGTTCAGCCAAATCACTTATCTTAAGTGAGCTAAACTTTATTCTAAAATCAAAATTACTTCGCTCAACACTGATGTATTATGACAAATCATGTGGCATGGTACTCAGTAGAAACCAGTCCTGAGGTGTGTAATAGCAATGTTTATCAATGCTTTGAGAAATATAAATAAAAATATAATTATTAAAATTTCAAATGATCCACTTTAGAATATAGAAAGAAAATTCAAATGGAGTGCAAAAAGTCAGCAAATTATGTAACAAAATTATTTACATTCAACAGGGGCAGCTTCCTATTGTAATACTTAGGGACATATATCTAATTTGAGCAATTTAAATAAAACAGTATCCATTGAACATTGAGAAGCAAAATTAAGGAGGACTACAAGAATTAAAAGTATATATATAAACTCCTGGCTAAACATTGAAAGGAAAGGGCACAGGCAGATTTAACAGCTTGTGGAAGTATCATTACATACAAAATAAATCTTTTTAAAAATGAAAAATGCCTATAAAAGGAGCGATAATGAAATTTCTCTCCATAAAGAGAAGAAGAAGCAACAGATTCCAAACTTGTTTTGAAAATACAAGCAGTCATTAGGGGTTCAACCTGTTGTTTATCCCAAAGGAAACCCCCTGGGTTTGTCTTTCTATACATATTTAGCATAGGATGTCATTAGCTGGACTGAGTGGACCTCATTACACTGTTGTAATGGTTCTCTGGATATGGGCTCTACTTTGGCCTTCTCATCTGTACAGTAAGGAGAGCTATAATGCTTTCAATGATAAAGTGTTAGGACCTCACAGACAGATCACCTAATCAAACATAGCTTCAGTATCGTGCTACACTGTCCAACAGGGAGTGGCTAGCTACCTGTTCCTACTAAAATCAAAATTAATTTAATTTAAACAAAATTAAAAGTGTAGCTCCTCAGTTATTCATTTCAACTATTCAGCAGTCACACTGTGTTTCCATCATCACAGGAAGTTCTATGGGACTGCGACAGATAATGGACGAGCACTTGAGTGCTGCTTAGTGTCCCACGTGATTTTCTTTAAGCTAAGGAAAGTTAGTAAGTCTTTCAGAAACCACAAGCACTACTTCATTATACCAGAAAACAAATCAATAAAATAAATAATTGCTTATCTAAGACAATTAAAAGAACATTTTCTTAGTGTTTCAACCCTGTCATCTGGGAAATCTGAAATGAGGCGATTCAGATTACTTCAGCCAAACACATGCTCATTTACTTGTCATATCCAGGTAGTAGAACAGTAGTATGATCCGAAAAGATCTTATAGGCAACTGTGACGCCACCTCTGACAAATGCAGTCACTCGGTCAAAGGTCAAACCTAACACAGGGTTCAGTGGAGATCTGAAAAAAATGGGAAAAACTTAAAAACTGTTTTCAAAATTATACATACATTGAAATTTTTGCACAAATAAATAGTAAAACATACAATATCAGTGTCTAATAAAGTCTAGAAATAAGTGAATATCTTATCATATGGCATTATTATTAGTATCCTGTACAGATTCTTAAAATGCACATTTTGGTTTATTTTGCTTATTTATAATGTAACCGATAGTTGCAACACATGCAATTTTAAAAAATAATTACAACAATAAAAGCAAAGCATTGGTTGATAAAAATAATCATCATTCATATATATTCATTTTTCATGAATAACTGAAATGCAATACATTCACAGTGATCTTTGGAAATAGTTCAAATGAGTCTTTAACATTTAGTTATAGCCAATTATTTTTATGTACGCTCATCCAGTGTTATGCTGATTTTATATTCGTGTTACGTGTTTTTAGGCTACTGTTGTTTGTAAATTGGGAATTAAAGTCAAATTGAAAACATCCAAAATAAATAGAAAGGTTACTATGAGCCAATTTTCTCTAAATTGACAACAAAGAATTGCTATTTAACTCTAGAATTAAAGAACTCAATCACATCACTTGTGTAGTCTTGTCATCAAAAATATTTAAAGTGAATCTAATCGTGAGAAAACACTTGGACAAATCCAAGATGTGGTACATTCTGCATGAAAAGTGTTTGACCAGTGGGAGGAAAAAGTCAATGTCATGAAAAAAACAAAACAAAAAGTAGAGGGAATATTTTAGATTAAAAAGATCAACAGAAAATGACCTCATGCAATACAGGGAACTTACTTAGATACCAGATTACTTAGATACTAGATTAAAGCATCTGTGGGATTTAATATAGGTTATGTGTTAGATGACATATTGTTGGCTGTGTAAGATATTACAATGTGGTTATATAGAAGAACATTTTGTTCTTCAGTTATATGAGGCCCATCTTGGAGAGAAATTTTAAGGGAGAGATAAGAGCAGTAAAACCAATGTGGCAACTCTAAATTGCTGAATCTAAGTAAAGGATTAGATGTTCAATGCTGTCTATTTTAAACTTTTCTATACATTTAAAATTTTTCAAAATAAAAAGTTTAGAGAAAAATTAAAAAGACTCAAAATAGAGGCAAATATTGACAAAAATCTTCTTTGCAAACAATTTGCCTGACCTCCACATATCAACAAAATTAGACATGTTTGAATTACTTCCTGAAAATGAATACTTGGTACATGTTGTAATTCTGTCAATGTATTTTAACCTAGATGGCAACGACGTTTTAGACACATAAACATTAAAAGTTCCAATAGCAGCAAATGCTGCAATGGTTGTAAGTAGTTTATTTTGGATTCAAAACAAAAAAGTACATTATCCAGTTCAAATAAAAATGAAACAGAAATAAATCTGTGTAATTATAAATTTCAAATTTCTCCATCTACATTCTTCAGATGATTTTAGAATATTTCAGATTACTGGCATTTAACTAGTTATTCTGCAAACGTGATCCAATTAGGCATGAACAAGTAGTTTTTCTTAACAAAATACTGTATTAGAGCACACATCGTTATAAAAATAAAAAATTAGTCATTATTTTCACTTTAAAAATGATATTAGGAGGAAATAATAATGATATACATTTTATTAAAGCCCCTCCATATAATTGGAGAGGTTTGCTAAATATCCAAGAGTTCTTTCCACCTAAAAATTCTTTGCTGTTTTTATCATTGTAAAAACAATCTTATTCATAATGCAACTAAGTTAAATTTTGAAATTTGCCTGTGGAAAAAATTACTATTCCTAATGGCTGAGTTTAATTCTATAAATTACACAGCATAATACATCACTCATATTTTAATTTTACTCTACTGGGATGGATGAAATAAAATTTTTTTAAATGCCACCACAACTTACTCTACCAACTTCTTTTAACACCTTCATGGATTTCTAACCAGATTTGTGTCAGTATTTGAAATATTGACTATTTAAATATATAGCAAATCCAACCAGCCCCTTATTTTTACTAAGGTTTAAGTATATTCATGTGTTTTACATTATAATTAACATATGATCAATTATACTCTGTATGCAAAATTACTTTCCCTATTCTGTTCTACAACTAAATAATGAGCAAGGAAAATTAAAAATAGGCAGGAAAGTGTGTGTAAGTTTTCTGTAAAGCAGTCTCGGAGTTCCTCTCAATGTGTCCTGTCAAAATATGCATAAATTTCCAAGATATTCAGCACAACAGCCCAGCTCATGAGTGTCTGTAGGCTGCAGCCTTTTCTTTCTTCAGAAACGCAGATAATTTTATGCAGGAATTTACCAATCTACAAAAATTTACACAATGCTCAGCAATAACCAGTAATTATTATGGGATAATGTAAGGCACTTTTGAGGAATATAACTTTGATAGGAGAGGGCTTACAAGCTTTACCAATTTATCTTTAGCTGTCCTGTCATTGGTGCTTAAAAGGTTAAGACTTTATTTGTGAAAACATAGAGAGATAGTGGGGAATCATGTTGTCTACAGCTTCATAAATCTTGCTTAAGATCCTTTTCAATTACCATCCATTTCTCCTTTAAAAAGGGACAAAAAAATAGAGGAGTGGAAGCAGGTCAGGGCAGTGTGCGACAGTGACAGTGTGATGGGCTTGGGCCCCCCGTGGCGTTTCCATCTGCTATCATTAAGGTGACTACTCAGACATGAACAAATCCCTCTTGCTGTGCTGACAGGCAGACTTCAAGAACTATGACAAGGCATTAAGACAGAAAGTCAGAGAGAGAGAGAGAGAGAATATTCCACAAACAAAACAATACTGTCTTGCAAAAATGTCCCCTGAAATTTTATTGGATTTCAAAATGTTTAAAAAATCATAAAAGATGCTACTTGGCATCTCAACTTTCCTTTTAAATTCGCCCTGGAAAGACTGAAGACAGAGAAGAAACACCTCATTCCTACCTGTATGTTTTACCATAAGAGACCCAGATTTTTTGCTCATTCTTCAGCAAAAGTGGATTCTTAATTTCTTGACCATGCTCGTCAAAAAGCCGAGTTGAAGAAAAATGGAGGCCTGGTGGGCTGATGGAAGAACCTCGAAGTCTTTGATGAATCTTGAGAAGTAACTGGTGGGGGTGGGGAGGGAGAATGAAGAAGGAGAGATAACCTAAAATGCGAACATCTGTAATAAAGTGTCTCTACTCTGAAACAAATGAAGTCCAAACAGATGATAATTAAATTCACATAGAATGTTAAAAGAAGTGTGAAATGACAGCAATGTTTAGCTCAGTGTAAAGTAACAAAATGAGCATGGGCTTTTAACCAGCAGGGGGTGCCACAGGCTTGTGATTGAGCTCTGACCCTTTGGCACAGGGACTGAAAGCAGATGTGACAGTCTCACAGAAAGAGCATTTAGCTTCTGCACACGGTAACACTCCTCTTTGATAAGGGTTATGCTTTTCTCGTCTGAGCTACACATTTTGTTAGGGGCTTCCCCACCAGGTTCAAGTTTTACATTAGGCAATCTCTCTGTTTCCCAACTAACCTCCGGTAACTAACAGTAGAACAGTTCACCACTTACAAGACTGCAAAAATAAATATGACTTTCAGCCCAAGTTGCTTCACTTAGAAGTACTCTTCCTGGATGCATTTTAATTATAAAACCCCACAAAAGCTTGTGAGCATCTCCAGTAATGGATGTTTTTAAGTTGCGAATAAGACATCGCTGAAGTGTGAAAAATGAAATGCTCTAATTTAATGTTTTAAATAATAACATTGTTGGTTTTTGCTTCTATCCTACATGGAGATTCTGTAAATTATCAAGATAGTTATTTTTAAAAAAGATTTATTTATTTATTTGAAAATCAGAGTGACAGAGAAAGCAAAGAGAGAGAGAGAGAGTCTTCTGCTGGTCCACTACCAGATAGCTCCAACAGCCAGACTAGGGTAGGTCAAAGCCAGGAGCTTCCTCCAGGTCTCTCACAAGGGTAGCAGGGGCCCAACATTGGGCCATCTTCCACTGCTTTTTGCTCTCATGCCATTAGCAGGGAGCTGAATCAGAAGTGGAGCAGCTGGGACACAAACTGGTGCCTATATGGGATGCAGGCATCTCAATCGATTTTACCTGCTATGCCACAATGCCTGCCCCAAGATATTTCTAATTTAAGGTATATTTCAAATGTAAAGTACATCTAACTAATGGTGGCATATATAATATTTTAAAAGACATTTTTTTCTTTCTCATCCATCGCCTCTGTTTCAGTGTTCCAGCCTCTACTCTTTCCTAATCTGCACCCCTTACTATCCAGCACTCTGTTCTTCACCTTCGGTCACAAGTTTCATTTTCTTTTCTCCCTTGTCAGCTCTTGAGTCTCACAATTTCTTGTTATTCTGTAATCCCTGCAGGGGTGTGGATATGGCTGTTGTCTTTTATTGCCTAGCTGTTGTTCAGAGGTCCCTTTTATTAAAACAAAAAGAGTATCTTTATATTAATCCCCATTGAAGGGATATTTCAAAATGCTAAATGTCAAGATTCAAGGAAAGAAAGGAAACTTCCATACATCTCAGGCATTTTACTGATGGTCTATAAACTTCTGACTAAGTCAAGCAACTGTATTTATAGTATACCTAAAGAAATAGTTTTTGAACTAATTAGAGGTAAAATTAGTACTTCCAACTTAAGTGCTTTCATCATCTCATTAGTAGCCAGATTTTTAGTCTTGACGCTCAGCAAGGCTAAAGATGATGGCATTTTTCTTTTTTCATTTCTCTTAATTTAATACTTCCTATTCAACATGGCCACATCCTTTGAATTAAGAATGATTATCCATATCTTCTTTAGAGCTCTAATACATGATGGTTTAGAATAGTATTTAAAATACTATTAAAATAACAATAATATAGGATATTACTGTATAAAAATACAATCATCCATATTTGTGGATCCCCCCACTAGAAAGACAAACATACTTTTAAAATCTACAGATTGTATTTCCAAAGCTCCACATTTTATTTCTGCGTGGTCTCAGCCCTTGAACTTACTTCTGTTGCTTCGTTACTATTTCTGAAAACATGTAATGCTGATCATTTTAAATCATAGGGATTTTGCTTCACAGGCATCACCTTTTTGTGAAAGTGAAAGATACAAAAGATTTAAGGCTTGATCCAGGAAAGAAATGTGTGCACAAAGGATAGGGTGCGTGCTTGACACAGGATGTGAGCACCTGACCACTTAACCAAATCTGCTTTCACAGGAGTTGCATTGCAACCTCTATTTTCTCAACCTGGTGACAAGAGTGCACATTAGGTGTTCAAAGATGAGCATTCCACAGCCTACAGGAGGTAAGGACCTCCGTGCCTTTCATCTTTAGGCCATTGGTTAGGGCTGGGTTGTGGCAACCAAAAATTGTGATAATCTTCACCCGTTTATCTTTAAAGCTATCATCACCAGGCCTTTAGAGGATAAGAATTTGTCCAGGGACCTGATGAGTGTGAAATACCTTAGGCTAGTGATTGAGACAAGTGACCACACAAGGGAAAAGTCATGCTTCGGTGTCACAAGGGATCTCTCAAAGTGCTTTTACAATGCCCCTACTTCAAATATTTTTCCCCAGAATTACTTGCATATTTCAGAAGTAAAGCACAATTTTAGTGTGTGCCATAAATCGAGACAAAAAGTTTCTATAGAATAATATATTCCTGTAGAAGATAATATAAATGCCACCTTTGATAGTAGCATGAAGCCAAAAATAAAATGTCTGTATATGAAAAGAGGAAGAGATAGGTGGAAAATTCTAGGAAGGCTTTTCTAGCACGGTGATTTGAATAATCAGGGATGTGATGGCTGAAAAAGAAATCAGCCAAGTCCCTGGGTCTTTCAATAGAAGTTGTATTTCCCTCTGTCTCTTCAGGCTCCAGCTAATGATCCAACCGGAGCCACCCGATTCATGTGTAACTTCTGTGATTGCCTGTAAAGGTCAGGTAATGGACACCCCCAGGAAGAGGTAAGTCCAAGGGTGCTGAACTGAAGGCAAGAAAAGGGAGTAAGCTTCTGAACAAAAGCAAAGCGACAGAGCCCAAAACACTGATGTGCACTCGGGCGCATAACCCCAATTTGTAAACAACAGGGTGTTCAGTGTTCTTTTATGCAAGACAAAGACCCAAAATAAAGACCCTTAAAGGGTTGGTTCTGCCTGAGAAACATCCCAATTGTCTGGAAAATAGGCAAAGGTAAGAGTGTCTAAGATAAACCAGCTGGGCTTCCTCACAATGAACATTGGAAGACCAAGGCTGCAAGTTAAACCACTCAGGGTGCAGGGGTGGGGAACATCCAGCCTGCAGGCTATATAATGCCCACAGAATCATTTGGTCTGGCCCTTCCAAGGCAACTACTATGCAGGACTCGAAAGTCAATAAATTTTTAGTGGGCTAAATTTTAAGCTGATAATTTTTATGACCCACAGGTGATGTTATAAACATCCAAATGGCCCTTGGCAGAAAAAAGGTGGTTCTCTACCCCCAGAGACTCAGAGCATATCCTCCATGGAATATCATGTGACTTCTTTTTAAATGAGGAGAAAACTAATGCATCAAAACCAGAGCCCAGTGTAGACAGATTTCCAAATAGAAGCTGGACAAAGGTTGATGCTGTTAGGGAAGGGTCCTGGAGGTAACAACACACAACAGTGATAGCCAAAGAGATCCAGAATTCAAGCTTTGGAATACACTCTTTACAGACCAGCAAATGGCTGATATGTTGTAAACAACTTTAAGATGTAATTGTCTAAGTTAACTATAAGTAACTTGGAGGACACCTTGAGTCAGTCACAAACAGTCAGTAAACTCACTCTTTCCATCAGATTGCCAGTTTGAGTTGGGCTATCAGAACACAAATCTTTTACACTGATACAAACGGGGATCTCGCCAGTGTCTTTGCCATTTTCAAATACCTGAAAAACAAACATATTCAAAAATAAAAATAAATACATGCACACACATATATGTGCTATGTGTATCTTACATGTTATCTATATGTATGTATGTATGTATAAATGCAGATAGTTCTTGCTTTGCACAGAACCATGTCAACTGAAAGTTGTGCATGTAAGAATTTTGCAAAGCAAGAACTGAGTAAACAATTGGCAGGTTAAATTAATAGTACTAAAAAAATTGTATAAAGATCCTTGTTTCTCCATTTGGTTTTAGTGTCGTATCTGACTGGCTGTTATTCTCCACATAAAGTCTTAAAATAGAAGAAAACTTGGACAGTAAGAGAGGAATCACTGACCACAGTAGATGCTTAAATGGAACAAGTGTCAAAGAAAGGTCAGCTATCAACCAATTAACTAGCTCACTTCATTCTTCTGGAAAAACATAAAACCACAAATTACATGAGGAATGTTTGACTTATATTTAAAATATATCCATGTTCAGCTTGTCTTTTGACTCACGAAAAGGAAATTCAACCTGACAGATTTATTGTATAACAGTAAGATGGAAGTCATCCATTTTAAGTGCATATATCCAACAAGTTGTTGAGAACAGAGATAGAATTCATAACATTGCATTATGCAACACTTGCTGGGGAAAAAAAATGCCAGCAAACGTTCTGGTCAAAAGGATTCAAATAAACCAGTCCCAACAGGACGGCTCCACCAGAGTGAACACTACCCCTCTGACCACACTGAGGATCCATGCGGGGTGTGCCATTCACCAAGCAAGAAAGGAAGCAGGCCTGGGGAGGCCTGATGAATAATTTAAATCCTGGCTCTTCATTTTTTTTTCCCTTAAAAGTTCTTTTCTTCCTTTTTTTTTCATATGTCTATCATATTGGTGCAGTCATCTTATGTATTTCTACTGCTGTTTTCAGAGAAGAAAATTTAGGAGAATAACTTCTTTAAAAATGAAGAAAACCACTCTTTAAGTTTTGAGACAGCTCAAATTTTAATTTGTTTGAGCTGGTTTGGGTTGTAATGTGTTTCGGAAGTGCTTCCTGAGCCTTTAGGCAAAAAAGAATTTTTTTTTTCTTTTCAGAACAATAATGCAAAGATTGGAAGTTTCATTCCACTCAGTGCTTTCCCTCGAGCTACTGATAGTCCAGTGGGGACATTACAGCTCTCAGCATTGATATTCCATTCACTACAGTTATCTGTGCCTAACAGGGACTTTTTTTTTTTCATTACTTTTCTGAGTAAAGATGCAATTCTGAACCAGAAATCTCTACTTTTCCAAGAAACCTGGTAAACTCAGCTGTTGTCTGCAAAGTGATGAGAAATAATGTGAAAGAATCTTATGGTTCCAATAATCTCCTCAGGTACCTAATCTGGAACAAAATTCTTTACCAACAGCAAAATTTAGCAATGAATGTCACAATTCTGGATGGTATGTATTCTGCAAGGTTAGTGTTGACAAAAGCTCAGATTGGAGAATTTATTGATGTCCCTTTGTTGAGACTTGCTAGATGTGGAGTCAGGTGCAGCAAATATATTCTAGAAAACAGCAGTGCAAATGCTAGCTACCAAACTGAGAAAGCAGAGAGGATCTGGTCAATATCTAACACCTTCATTAGCTCACTGTGTTGTTCACTACTGATAATGCAACTGCCCTTCTGGGTCCAGAAATGTGTTCTCAAAAACCAGAGAAATCGGTGATGACCTCCAAAAATGCTATGATGGCATAAAAAAAGAGGTGTTTTGTGGTAAGGAAAAGGTTGGGTGTTGAAGTGGAAAGACGCCTGCCTCCGCTACTAATTTAATGTGTTTGGGCTGTTAGCAAAACTAAAATTCCTCCAAATTGAAATCTTGAGATTCTTTTTTTCTTAAAGTTTGGCTCTGGTCTGTATTTTTTTTTTAAGATTTATGTATTTATTTGAAGGTCAGAGTTACAGAGAGAAAGAGAGGGAGAGAGAAATATTCTTTCCAATGGTTCACATCCCAAATCGCCACAACAGCAAGAGATGAGATAGGCCGAAGCCAGGAGCCAGGAGCTTCTTTTGGGTCTCCTTTGTGGGTGCAGAAGTCCAGGCACTTGGGCCATCCTTCACTGCTTTCCCTGGTGCATTAGCAGGGAGCTGGATCAGAACTGGAGCAGCCACGGCTCGAACTGGCTCCCATATGGGATGCCGGTGCTGCAGGTGGTGGTTTACCCTCTATACCACAGTGCTGGCCCCCTTGGTTCTGGTCTTTAAGCTCCATATTTATAAGCCCATTTTTAAAAAGATGCACATCTTATATTTTTCCCTGCTTTGACTGAAGAGTATTTTTATTTCTAATGTCTAATATTTAAATAAACAGGGAGAGATTTCTATTATTGGTAATATAAGAAAATTAAAAAAATAGTTTGCCTTTACTTTCCTTCTGTCTATTCTTCGCTTAAGGAAAAAAAAAAAAAAAGGCTGTTGTACTGGCTTCCTAGTGGCTCTCGGCATAGCCTCACCTCCTCCTGGCTCTAAAATTAAATTCTCACCCCTGAGTGGGATGATGCCAAATAAAACAGCTGAGGCTAGCTTTGAGTCCCAAGGAGTAAGGTAATAGAACCTAAAAAACAATGTTCCAGAGCCTATTGAAAACCATGGTATCTAATGATTATTGAAACAACACCTAGGACTAGGAATTTACTTCAATGCCCTAAGTTACACAAAGTAGAGTTGAAAGGGGAGGTATTTTCCATGCACTGCAGTCTTTTTACTCTCCTCCACATTGACTTTTCTTGAGCAGGATTAAATTAGATTAACACCCATGTTTCATTGTAATGTAAATCGATTCAGTCATTCAACAAATATTTATTGAGGGCCTGCCTTGTGCCAAGCACTGTTCAGGTACTTAGAACACATCAGTGAACCGAGATCACGTTCTTGAGGGACTTAGCCTCTGCTGGATTAGAGAGGGACAGACAATACACAATCAACTAAACAAATAAGTAAAGTATATAGCATGATCAGGTCATACCTGGATCATGTGGGGCCTGAAGTTCATACAAATTGCTGTCTTCTTCAACAAAAAGGATGCAAAACTACATGTGAAATATTCAATAACATTTTCTATAAAGAGACCAGGAAGATAACTTGATCTTCACTTTGGCTTGGTGAATCAAATTGTTTTTCCATTATTGCTTAGAAAAGTTTATTTCAGTGTCACAACTTTATTAGTGATTTCATTAAACTTTTAGGATTGATGTCAAATTCAGGAAAACTTTGATCAGGTTTCTTTTAAAAATGAGCTGTAAACATGGAAGAATGCTCTGCAAATTAATTGACTTCATTACTTTCATTCCATGCTTTTTCTCCATCACCCACCCACATACATTTTTAACATACATTTTTTTTTTAAATGTACGTTTTTTTTTGTTTTTTTTTGTTTTTTTTTATCTTTTATTTAATGAATATAAATTTCCAAAGTACGACTCATGGGTTACAATGGCTTCCCCCCCCATACCGTCCCTCCCACCAACAACCCTCCCCTTTCCCACTCCCTCTCCCCTTCCATTCACATCAAGATTCATTTTCGATTATCTTAATATACAGAAGATCAGCTTAGTATACCTTAAGTAAGTATTTCAACAGTTTGCTCCCACACAGAAACATAAAGTGAAAAATAATAGATGATTTTTTTAAAATGATGATGAAATCAGATCAGACCTATTGTCATGTTTAATCCCAGTGAGAGTCAAGTTGGGAATTGAAAATTTCTTTCTTTTTTTTTTTTTTTTTTTTTTTTTTTACAGAAGATCAGTTTAGTGTACATTAAGTAAAGATTTCAGTTAACATACATTTTTAAATTTACTTTCTTTTTATCTATTTATTTATTTGTTTATTTTGCTTGAAAAGCAGAGAGACAAGTGAAATCTCACATTTGCTGGTTCACTCTGCAAAAGCTTGCAAAAGCCAGTGTCGGGTCAACCCAAAACCAATAGCCAGGAACTCAACTGAGGTCTTCTATGTTGGTGGCAGGAACTCAGCTACTTGAGTAATCAACTCTCAGGATGGACACTAGCAGGAAAATGGAATCTGCAGAATTCAGACACTCTAAAATGAAATGTGGATGTTCTATGCAGTGTCTAAACTGCTGTGCCAAATGGTTCCCTGGCATCCCCCCACCACACACACACACACACACACACATATACACATGCATATTCTTAGAGCCAGGCACCCTAGTGCAGGCAAAAACCAACAGTGGAAGGCATTTGGTGTAGTGGTTAAGATACCACTTGGGATGCTCACATCCCATATAGCGTGCCTGAGGTTCTGCTTCCAATTCTAGTTTCCAACTAATGCACACTATTGGAGGCAGCAGGTCATAACTCAAGTAGTTTGATCCATGCATACACATGGGAGACTGGAATGGAGTTTGAGGCTTCTGGCCATAGCCTGGGCCAGCCTCAGCTGCTATGGACATTTGAGGAGCAAACCAGTGGAGAAGAGATTCTTTCTGTTCTTCTCCCTCCCTTCTGTCCCTTTCTCCCTTTATTTTTCAAGTAAATAAATAAAGATTTCAAAGATAGAAAAAAAAAACCAATTTACTCTAATGCCATCTTCCTGGAATCATCTTCCAACACCAAAATTAACTATACAGAGATGTAACTTGGAAGCACTAATTACATTCCACTATGCCCAAACTAAACATAGCTCCAACTCAATTTACCCTTATGTCTACTTTGAAAATACCTACAGCCACTTTGTAGATGAGATAACATGAGAAAGAGGAAATTAGAGTGGAAAAGAGATAATGATCTTAAACACATATAATTAAAATATATTACATTTGCAATTTTATAGGAATAAATGACCAAATAAACTTGTATGTGAGATATGAGAGGTAAGAGAGTTAGCAAGCAGATAGCTGGGAAAAAAAAATCACAAGCAAGGCTAGTTGCTTGAGCAAAGACAACGGACATGATCAAGGAACCATCTGGAAGCTGATTAGACTGAAGTAAAGTTATAGAGTACAGT